TTTGAGTAGAAGTAATAAATTACTTTAATTCCTGTTTAAATGCAATTCATCCTGCCATACCTGCAGTGTCTTCAGACTTTGCCAGCAAATTAAAAGTTGAAGCTTAATCATTAAATTATTATCTTTGTGTTAGATTTATTTATAAATCATATTTAAACACTGCTTGTACCAATTAAATTAAATAAAAAGTAACACACGTTCTCTATCACGTCATTAATCAGATAAACAAACAAACAAACAAACAAACAGCTTCATCTTCAGACAGACTGACGTTATGTTTTCTCTCTTGAAAAAGAACAAAGTGTTAAATTGTAGAGACTCACCTGCAACACATGAAGAGTTGTATCAGCTGCAGCTCCTTCCTCCTCCTCGTCACTCCCACATGTTTACGTTTATCTCCGTGGTTCTCCCGTGTCGTGTCGTCACTTTTCAAAGCTGCATGTTGCTCAGTTTTTATCTTTGTGAAGTTCTCCCACACTTTGGAGGACTTGGGTCGAACAGTTTTCGCTGCGTCGGTCATTTGTCAAATTTACTTAATTTCCTTTAAAAACAGCCTCTGCTCTGCCTCCTCCTCCCCCCTCGCTCTGTTCAACTCGCGCTGCAGTTTTTTTTGTTTTCCAAACTTTATTCAGTCAGTCGGCATTGACAATGAACTGCCCGTGAACAAAACGAAACGGCTCCGCAGCGCCTTGAAAGACGCATAATCGCGCGACACAACAAATCGATAACGAAATTCGTTGCCAACGCTTTTAATCATCGATTTTTATCGATTTTATCGATTCGTTGTTGCAGCCCTAATGCATAGATTTGTACAAATTGTACTTGAGAGGAGATTATTACAACCTCATATAAAGTCAATGATGATCATGATATCGGAACTGGATCGGTGTCGGTTCAGAAGTTAAAACAATGTGGATCGTGCATCCCTAATACATACAGTCCATTTACCATTTACTTGGAGCTATAGAAGTAAATTGAATTGAATTGAATAATGATCTGTACTTGATTTAATTGGACTTTTTATTCAGTCAGTTTTGTGGTTTTCAGCGTTGTATGAGCGGGTGCGTGCGGACCAGAGGAAGTTTGGGAAGGCGTCGTGCGAAGCAGCAGCTGAACGCATGGAGCGGCTGAAGTTCGCCCTCTCTAAAGAAACTCTGCAACTCATGAGAGCTAAAGAAATCTGCCTGGAGCAGAAGACACAGAGCTTAAAGAACGAGGTAACCATTTATCTGTTATTATGAACTTCATATGGCGTAAAAGGGAAAAGATAAAAGCTGTGCTGGAGGAAGTGACCACCATCTTGTTGTAGAGCGGTGGGACTGACTCGCTGATGGTCTGTAAGATCCTGTAAAACCATCTGGAATTGAAGCCGAGCACAAAGAGTCTAGACTCTAAAAAAAAGTCTAGACTCTAAAAAATCTGCAGGTCCAGATGAACTTCCACCTTATTTATCCTGATGCATGCTCAATAATCCAGGTAGAAAAATCTAAAAAAGTTAAATCTGGTCCTCTGGTCATTCAAAAAAACAAAAAACAAAACAAAACAACAAAATAAATGTAGAAGACGTATGTAATGTAGAGACGTTTATTTTCTAAACATAACGTCCCAGTGGATTTTAAACCCCAAAATACATTAAAGACTGGTTCATCCCAAAGATCCA